AGTAAAAAAAAAAAAAAAAATCATGTTCATATTACCCTATTTTCCTGAAAACAAATTTCAGTTAAGTTCATTAGCCAGATGAATTTAGGATATCGGTTGCAAACACATGTCAGGTGTACTGAAATATAAAATATTAATATATAATTTATTGTACATATTGACATTAATACTTAAAAATAATATAAATTATAATTAAGTATTGTAAATTATAATTATGTATTTGTCTCATACAAAGAGGATGCCTTTACATGAGAAGTAAGCGCCCATGTAGACAGATGAACTCCAGACTTACGGCCAAATGATCAGAGCACAGATACAACATGCCAGTAACAGGCACACTTGGTAACAAACTGTCTAATATGAATTTTCGTAACTCGATACGTCATGTGTTGTAATGGATGTACTTAATGCACTCTTGTGAAATAAAGAAACATTTTCTGAGGTTTTTTTGCCTGCAGTTTTCACCACTTTTGTGTGGACCATCAATCTTAACTGTCATTATTTTTGTTGCCACTCCTGCCTCATAAATCTTCAATTAGCACTTGATTTAACGGAAACTGTGAATCCCAGCCTGCAGGAGGTGGTCACCTGGGTGGAGAGGCCATGGGATGAAATCACTGACAGCAGTGCTGCCTGTGTACTCTGAGCAGGCCACAGGGGCAGGAAGCCCTCGTTCAAAGAGAGCTCTGTTGCTGGACATGAGAGATTGGGGCCAATGGTTCTACAGGAAATGGAGTCACAAGAAAGCCAGGCTGGAATTCAGGGTCTGGAGAGTTAGGATGACATCCTGGAAGATGACAGGACTCTTTGTGAATAAATGCAGATTTCTATACATGAATAAATGAATAAATTGTTGTTTATGACAAATAAGACATCTGCTGAAAATATGCTATCTAATAGTGTCTTTTGGAGCAAAAATTACTATAAGATTCAGCCTTGTTTCTGGGGAAATGTGGCATATCCACATCTTACTCATTTTAAGTGTTTTATTAATGATGTGGTTACTATTTACACCCAGAACTGTAATGAAAACAGGTTTGTGGACACTAGTGTGGCTTAGTAACCCTAGCCCACCCTGAGTTTACAAGAAGGATGGGTACAGGCACACCTTGGCCTACTGTGCTTCACAGACCACAGCCTTTTACAAACTGAGGGTCTGTGGCAGCCCTGTGCCGAGCACGTTTGTCAGTGCCATTCTGCCAACAGCACTGCGCACTTCCTGTCTCACAATGCTGCCCACCTTTCATCACCACCGCGTGTGTTCTGATGACCTGTGTTGCTGCTCTCGCTGCGGCCTGAAGCATGTGCTGCCTGCTCTCCGACACACTCCCTGCTCAGCAGGGCACAGGTGCTCAGGTCCTGCTTCCAAACTCCACTGCCCGCTCAAGGTCTCCAAGGCTTCATCGAGGAAGTGGATTGTCTCAGATTTGGACAAGAAATATCAACATGAACCCAGAACATTATACTTTGCCAGAAAATGTGGAGACATGTGTTTTAAAAAATAGGCACAGCCACGAAAGAGTTACAGGATAAAGAGTAAGCCCATAATAGTACTGCAGAAGAGAGGGGAGTAAAAGAAAAGACACAATGAAACCAGGAGACCTCTACCAGTGCAATAACTGACTGGGCAGAGATCACCCATGGATGTTAAGACCGTTCCTTCACAGACTGCTGTGGGCATGTGTAGGTCTCACCCACGGATGACTCACCAATACAAGGTGAGGGAGGCCTCAAGATCTGGGGTCATTAATTTGCCTAAAGATCCAACACAGCATCACCAATAATAGTGCAAAATGCTACGTGGCTTTCTATGTGATACAACAGGAAATATACATCACTTGGCAAAAAAAGGTTTAACCTGATTCACACCATAAGGAAACAATATGAAAATCCAGACTGCTACAATTTTGAAGGAAACTGTCCTGAACTCTTTAAAATGTCATGAAAAATAAAAGAATGGGCAGGGGGAACTGTTGTAGATTAAAAGAAATGAAAGATTATAACCAAAGGCAATGCATACATTTTGACTGGATTGAGGATCACAAACAGTGCCACAATTTGAAAAACTGTATGGTCATGTCTGAGAATATCCTTAGTCTTGGAGATATTAAGGGGAAGCGTTATACTGTTAGCTTATTTAAAATGATTTTAGAGATGAGGATGTAGCTCAGTGGTGCTGCCACCTGCCTCACAAGCGCAAGGTCCTGAGTTCTGTCCCTGGTACAAAAAAATAAAATAATAAATAAATAAAATGCTTTTTAGGAAGAGATGCTTCTTAGAAAAAGTAGATATAAACATAAAGCTATGCACATTCCCAAATTTCCTACTCCTTTCTGTTATTCACAAAGAAATGCTGTGACATAACCACGTCTTCTCCTTCTGTTATAACAAAGAAATCTCATTCCAATGATAAAGAGTATGAATATGAGTCTCAGCATGCAGTCAAGCTTGAGGCCTGGAGACACTGAACTGCTGTGTGGAGACCGCGCCATGGGCTTCCTCACCTTCCCAAGGGCCGTCAGGAGGTGAAAGTCTATGGACTCCCGGTACCGGAGGATTTGAAGGATGCCATCCAAGTAGACCTGGTCTTTACTGAAACACCCTGGAAGAAGCACAAGTGTCACTTTCTGGTGTCTAAAAACTTACTAGGAGATCAGATACTAATCTGATTCCCCTCACTGTAGGAACGGACTTATAGTATAAAAATTCTAACATGGGCCTGGGGGTACAGCACTTGTCCAGAACACACAGGGCCATGGGTTCCATTCTCAATACTGCAAGGGAAGAAAATCTAATTTGCTGATGTTTATTTATAATAACCAAAAAAAGGGAAGACTTGGGAAAACCAGAATAGTACACAGACTAGTAGCTGCCCTTCCCCACACTCCCTTTTCTTAACATTTCCCCATAATTATAAAGAAAGGCTGGTAGTTTAAAATGCACAACTCATAACCCCTGCTGTTTAATCTCACCATAACTCCCAGGCTTCATGAAGGCACTGGGTGGGGAGCAGTTAAGGTCTCAACAAAGGCCATTTGCAGCCAGGAGATTTTTACAAAGATTTCTTTTTTGTGTGTTTTTTAGGTTTTTGTTGTTGTTAAATAATAACAGAACTCTGCCCTCAAAAAAGAGGCTATGGTTTAGAAACAATCTAGGTTATTTTGATACTGCTCATCTGTATGAAAATAAGAATTAGAACTAAATTTTAAAGAATATGTAGGGTTGGGAATAGAAAAAATATGAATACATGAAAAACAGAAATAGTTCAAGAGATCTGAACCTATTCAAAAGAGATAATGAAAACCTCTTTTCTCATACTGATATAATTTCAGTTTTTAAAATTATTTGGTCTGCATACAGTCATACATGGAGGAAATTATCATTAATTTTGTTAGGTAAGCTACCAACATGGGGATTATGAAAAATTCTGGTCCAATCAGCAAGAGATACACACAGAAGTAATCAGGGTCACAATGCTAAAACTGTTCTTACAATATTACTGGGAAATAGGAACACAGAAAAAGATATGAATCAGTTAGTAATGGCGATTCCTAAGATTAGGTAATGTATTAGTGAGAGCTCAGCATATTAATTGTTCTTGTTTTACATACATTTGAACATTTCCATAATAAAAAGCTAAAAAAATATGTGTGAAGCATAAAGACTAGTCTAAAAATCACATGCCTTCATGGGTATCAAGGTCAACAGACAAGCTCTGTGCACTAAAACTCAGACTAGAGCTAGGAGTGGTGGTACACACCTGTAATCCCAGTACTCTGGGAAGCTGAGACAGGAGTACTGCAAACTGAAGCCCAGATGGGGCGATTTAGTGCCTTAGTGAGAACCAGTCTCAAAAAGGGATGAGGATATAACTCAGTGTGAAGGCTCTGGATTCAGGCTTTAGTATTAAAAAAGAAAAAAGACAAACAGATCTACAAAGGAGATAGATAATAACTGACACTTACTTCAACAGGAACCCACTTTTGGAGGCAGCTGTGCCCACATGAAACCAGGGGACAGATGACCTTCCTCCTAGTTCCTATCTTGCCTGATTCGAGCTTTCAGACAGCCACATTGCCACACAACTGTACCCCTGGTATAGCATCTTAGTTACTTTTCTTATTGCTAAGACAAAATATCTGACACCCAAAGTTAAATGAGGAAAAGTTTACTTGGCTTATAGTTCACAGAGGCTTCAGTCCACAGTTGGTGGGTTCCAGAGCAGAGTGGCACATGGCAGAGGGGCATTGCAGAGGAGAAACAGTTCATGGTGGTCAGGAGACAACAAAAGCAAGCAAGGGATGATCACAGCTTATTCTATCCCTTGTATCTTATCCAGGCCATTTAGGGTGGGCAGCACTCACACCCTCTATCCTAGTGCCCTTGATGCTACCCTTGCTCCGTGAATTACCCAGCATCACACACTCTAGGTATGGCCACCTCTGAAAAAGCCCTACCTATGTTCGCATCTAGACACAAAGCATAACATTCTGCCCCTGCCTCCCCACAAAGACTCATGCACGTTCCTTCAGGTAAAAGGCATTTAGTCTATCTTTAAGAGTTGCTAAAGTCCTAAGTCTCAGTACCACTGAAAAATCCAAGTCCAAAGTCTCCTCTGAGATTTAAGGCAAACTTGTAGCTGTGAGCCCCTGAACAAATGAAAAGAAAGTTAAACATTTCCAATGCTGAATGGCACAAGAAAGACATTTCCATTCTAAAAGTTACAAATGGGGATATCAAGGAAGGGAACGAAGCAAAACCAAAATCCAGCAGGGCAAACATAAAATCCCACAGCTCCACTTCCAGCATCCCTGGCAATCTGTGGCAAGTTGTGAACTCTGAAGGGCTTGGGTGGCTCCGCTCCTCAGGCACTTCTAGTGGTTGTAGCTCCTATGGCTTCTGTCCGGGGCCAGTTCTGCTTCCTCCTTGAGGTTTTCCTCAGACAATCAATGCTCCTGGGTTCTCGAAACTTCCACACACCCCCACCTTCAGCTTCACACTCACAGCTTCACACACGGCTCTCAGGGGCACCACCCTGCCTGGCCTCCCAATTCTTCTTCTGAAATCTGGGTGGAAGCCTCCTGACCCCACAACTCTTCATTCTGCACGCACCTAAAACTAGCACCACATGGGTGATACCAAGGTTTGCTGCCGGCTGGAGCAGTAACCAGGCTTCCTTCTCTCTTGGCTATAAGGGTCCAGGGCCCATGAACCATACTCTGAGTAACAACTTCCCTAGGGTGCCACCATTCTGCAACATGAGGCTCTGAGATTCCTTCTCAAAGTAAGTCTTTCACTTTTGCATTTTGAAGCTATACAGGCTAGAGTTCTGCTGCTTCTTGTGATGCCCTTGGGCAATCTTTTCTATTGTCTTCTGAAATACCTGGCTTTTTCTTGTTAGTCTCCTCAGCAACCAATTTCTATGCTATTCCTTCTTTGCAGCCAAAACTTTATTGGAGCTTCCTTTCTACCCAAACTCACAAAATTTTAAATCATTCTGCTGGGCTCTTTGCTCTTGATTTGCAACATAAGTTTGGCTAAAAACCTCCAACAGTATCCATGCTACCACCTCAACATTAGACTGCCTTGAAATTTCTTCTGCAAGATTAGTCTGCTGCCCTTAATCTTAGTCTGAGCTAAAATCTTTGGATATGAGCAAAATGTGGACAAACTTTCTGTCGAGGCATAACACGCATTGTCTGAAGTCCAACAGCCAACACAGTCCTTTTCCCAGCAGAAACCTCCCAAACCCGGTCTTTACCAGCAGGATTTCTTTCAGCCTTCCAGTCTTCTAAGCTTTGACTAGACTCTCCCATCAAGTACTGCCTAAGGCATTCTAGCCCTACTTTTGCAGCGGGCATCTCTGAACCTTTCCAAACTCTTCCTACAAGCCAGTCAGGTCAGGTAGTCACAGCAATAATACCACTTCTCTGGTACCAAATTGTCTTACTTTTTTCATTGCTGAGACAAAATATCTGACATTCAAAATTAAAGGAAGAAAAGTTTATTTGGGTTATAATTCATAAAGGTTTCAGTCCACAGTTGGTGGGCTCCAAAGCAGAGTGGCACACTGATAGAGTAATACTATAAAATAAGACAGGCCCTTGCCTTGCCTTTATTTATTTTTTTCCTCATAATGTTTTCTTCCAGAAATGTTATAGTCTATGCTGCTGCACTCCTGCCTGATGTATCAAAATGTTTTGGACTGTCTGAACTGCATGACCTTTCAGGACTGTTCTGTTAAGCTCCAACCCCTTACAAGAATGTTGTTAAACTCTGCCCCCTTACAAGAATGTTAGGCTCCACCCCCTTGCAAGAATGTTCTGTAACTCCACACACCCCTGCTTCAGGGAGCATGCTCGCCTACCCTGTAAATCACTATATAAGGAGGCTCTCATTTCTGGTACAGGGCGCAGACTTTTGAGTAGGAACTTCTCTAATGCTGACAGTGTAATAAAAGTTTTTCTCCACCTTGTCAAGTGACCATTGGATTCCCAAGTCTTCAAATTGCAATAGCTGAGACCCAGAGCTGTAACACTTGGCTATAACACTGAGCTCTTCTGCTTTTCCACAACAACATGGCCGAGGGGGCCTCAGAGAGGAGAAATCATTCATTTCAGGCAGAAGGTAGCAAAAACAAGCATAGGAGGATCATAGCTTTCTATCCCTTATAATTTATCCAGGCTACCTCGGATGGGGGCACTAACACCCTCAGTCCTAGTGCCCTTGATCCTAGCATTGCACCATGAATCAATCCCAGTGTCACACACTCTAGATCCAGCCACCTCTGAAAAAGCCCCACCCAAGGCCACATGAGGCTTTGGGAGGACATCTAGACACAAACTATAACACATGTTAACATGGGCCACACTGGTGATATAACCATTATGGCCTGAGTGTTTCTAAGCTCTAAAGAAGTAGTTTAAAAATACTTTTAGGGCCGGGGATTTAGCTCAGCAGTTCGGTGGCCTGCCTTGTAAGCGCAAGGACCCAAGTTCAATCCCCGGTACCAAAAAAAATAAATAAAATAAAATAAAAATACTTTTAGGGCCGGGGATTTAGCTCAGCAGTTCGGTGGCCTGCCTTGTAAGCGCAAGGACCCAAGTTCAATCCCCGGTACCAAAAAAAATAAATAAAATAAAATAAAAATACTTTTAGGGCCGGGGATTTAGCTCAGCAGTTCGGTGGCCTGCCTTGTAAGCGCAAGGACCCAAGTTCAATCCCCGGTACCAAAAAAAATAAATAAAATAAAATAAAAATACTTTTAGGGCCGGGGATTTAGCTCAGCAGTTCGGTGGCCTGCCTTGTAAGCGCAAGGACCCAAGTTCAATCCCCGGTACCAAAAAAAATAAATAAAATAAAATAAAAATACTTTTAGGGCCGGGGATTTAGCTCAGCAGTTCGGTGGCCTGCCTTGTAAGCGCAAGGACCCAAGTTCAATCCCCGGTACCAAAAAAAATAAATAAAATAAAATAAAAATACTTTTAGGGCCGGGGATTTAGCTCAGCAGTTCGGTGGCCTGCCTTGTAAGCGCAAGGACCCAAGTTCAATCCCCGGTACCAAAAAAAATAAATAAAATAAAATAAAAATACTTTTAGGTGGAATTTTTTGATATAATGAACTAATCTCAAAGTCAAAATGACTTTTGAAAAAATTTGCTAATTTTTACCCTTTTTTTCCAAAATATTTTCATATTGGAATTATGGCTTGTATCTAGGTGTCCCCCAGTGGATTAGGCCACTGACGAGTGTATACCTGAATACAATATCAAGAGGTGAAGCTTGGCTGGAGGAGGTGGATCACAGGGGGTGTTGCGGCTTCTCTCTAGATGCCCTCTCAAGGCCTCATGAACTATTAGGTGGGGCTTCTCGGGGGTGACCGGACCGTGAGTGTGCTTTACTGGATTAGTCCACTGATTGGTTCATAGCTGGGTGTGATGCTAGGAGATAAAGCCTGGTAGGAAGAAGTGGGCAATTGTGAGTGGCCTGGAAGTTATATACATCCCTCCTCTTCGCTTGAGCTCTACTCTGCTTCCTGCCTGTCATATCATGGACTGTTTCTCCTCTCCCGCACCTGTCTGCCATGCTCCCCTGCCTTGGAACCAGCCAATTATGGATTGAAACTTCTGCAAACTCTGATCCATAATAAACCTCTCCTCCTTAGAGCTGTGGGTGTCAGGCACTGTGTCTCAGTTATGAGGGAAGTAACTACGACAACTGCCATAGACTTCCTTATATACTGCTAAAAACTAAACAAAAAATTCTGTGGGCTTCCAACATCTTTAGGTTACTGACAAAAATTCTTAAATTTTCTATTACCTAAACAGGTACATCTACAGAGGTTAAAAGTGAAAACCACTTAAAGTGGTTGCTCCCAGCTCAGGGAGGAGAGGGGAAGAAATGAATAAAAATATCCTGAAATTAGTGTCAATGTTTGTACAACTCTGTCATATTTTAAAAAGCACTGCACTTTACATTTTAAACAGGTGAACCACATGGCATGTAAATTACATGTCAATAAAGCCGGGGTTTTTTGTTTTTCGTTTTTTGTTTTTGATACCAGGGATCAAACTTGGGACCTTGCAATAAAGCTGTTTTATAAAAGCTGGAGAGAAAGTAAAAATGGCAAAAGTTAACAACTGGTGAATCTAGATGAAGGATAGGGGTATGAATGTTCTATTAGTCTGTCAGTTTTCAAAATGAGATGCACAAAAATAATGCTGAGAAACAGTGGTTTGGAAAACACAGGTTGACTTTGTCACAGATGTATGAGTCCTCAGGTTTCATAATGAGACTCTGACCTGCATCCCACAATAACCGGCCAGTGACTCGGAAACCCAGTCAGGGATGCTCACCTGGCTGGGAGGTGTCAGTCCAGCCCCTCTTGGCTCGCACACAGTAATCCCATCGGGTACTGGGGTCCTTGACAAACGTGCCAATGTCTCTGAAGAGTTCACAGAACGACATGTGGCTGGCCTGGTACACAGTGTAGTAGAGCAGGGCGGCCCTCCACAGGAAAGGGTCCTTTCTGAATAGGACACTGTGGATGCTTGCCAGGCCCTCCTCTGTGGGGTTGTTGGGCTTCAGCTCGTGTCTTCTGCGGCCAGTCCAACTGTTCCATGGCTGCTGCAAGTTGTTTATACCTCGGAAGTAATGTGTGCCTGCAGAGAAGAGGAGAGACATGAGTAGGGAAAACTGCTCTTCACCCCTGGCAGGAGGATTTGGTCACCAGCTCAGTACCCTGGGAGATGAGGACTAGGGGTGGTTTCTAGGTTACTGGGTCACTGGGTTGTGCCCTCCACGGGGATAACCAGACTCTAGCCCCTTCCTCTTCCACTCTTTTTGGCTTTTTTGGCCTTGAGTTCACTCCTGTTATAATGTGCTGCCCTGCCACAGCCCCAAAAACAGCAAGGCCAAATGATCCTGGACTGAAATCTCCCAAACAGTGAGCCAAAATTTTTTTTATTTTAAGATAACTTTTCCAGTTATTTGTTATAGTAATAGAAAACTGACACAGAAAAGATTCCATCAACAATTCTATATTGATGTTTGCCTACACATCAAAACAAAGTAGAAAATGACATGACCTAAGGCCTTTGAAAAGCTGAAGGAGTATAGACCCTTCAGGAAGCCCTCAGGGCTCATTAGAGAAGCGCAAACCTTTATAACCATATTGTTAGAGAGGAGACTCAGCCTTGATATTTGAAAAGAATCTTAGAGACACTTATTTCAACCCCCTCAGTTTAAGGTGGGGGAGTCGAAAGCCAGAGGAGCCAAATGCCTTTCCAAGCTCAATATAGTGACAGCTAGATGATGTGCTAACAAGTCCGAATCTGAAATACTAGAAGTAGGTTATCTTTAGTCCCAGTCTGCTAAACACTGCTAAGAGCTAGGGCTAACTCCTGCCCTCCAAGGGGCCGGGGCCGGGCTGCCCACCTATCTCGTGCCGCAGCATCCCCTCCAGCCAGTGCTCGCGCGCAGCGGCCACGTTGATGGTCAGAGTGGGACACCCGTTGACAACCGTCATCGAGGCTCGGGACAGCAGGTCCTCGGTGAGATGCACCACAATCTGAGGGGCAAGAGGAAAGTACATGCATATAAAACAAAGTAAAGTCTCAGAAATGCTGTCACAGAAAACAGCCCAGGGACAAACACGGCTTTTGCATATGGCTATCTTGACTCCCTCAGAAACCAGGGTGGTAGAATGTGCAGCCAGCCACCTTTAACTGTTGAAGGACTCAAGAACCTTCACTGGTTTGACAAGAAGGAAGATAGCTATGGTGAGGAGATTCAGAGAAACTAAAACTGAATCTCTAGGGTCTCTCAAGCAGTCCCTAGCTATAGCAAGGAGAGGAAGGCACAGGGGCAGAATTCTGCTGGTGGCCAGTACCGAGTCCCTGAGACTGACCACTAAAATGGGACTACAAACAGGAGAGGCCACCGGGCAACGCTCTTCAATAAAAGATTCAGATGGGAATTCATAGAGCCCTAAAGCTATACACAAATGGCTGTAACATAATGAGAAAAGCAGAAACTGAACGCCATAATTCAAGGCACAGGGAGCTTAAGCACCCGGAGCAATGCCCACAGCCCACCTCTCCCAGGCAGCCCTCCTTCGTCATGTACTTCCGCACATGGCTCCAGATGCGCGGCCTCGACAGCAGGCTGCCGCCTGTGGTCTGCTCAAACTTCTCGTAGCTTCCGTACTTCTGGAGAGTCAGTTCCATGATATGGATGGACTGTAAAAGCAGGAGAGAGGATGACAGCAGAGGGCTTTGTACGACTTTGAGATGAGTAACAAGTAAGCCAGCTCTGACTTGCTCCAGTTTTACTGACTACCAGAGCAAACAGCAAGTGAGGGAGTGCAGTTTTCTCACAGGTGTGTACTCTGTCCCCACACAAGGGGCTTCCCTATACGCACATAATGGGCAGGAAGGTACCGCCAAGTGGAAGGAACACATCTACACTGATTACTGGGCTACAATTAGCACCTGGATTTTTTTTTAAAAAGCTTCAAAAATTTAAGAACATAAAAATCAATTAGTCTTCTGTGACAATCTCTAAAATCACTATTTTCCTGGACTTATCTCTGGCAGACAATATAGTCGCAAGATTAATGAGAACAATTTTGTCTTTCCTTCAGATCAGAGAATCTTCTACTTCTCATTCTTCATAAGGTTTCAAAGAATACAAAAGCTGAAATTGGATTTTCCACACATGCACAGGCAGAATAGAAGACTAAAGGAATCTGGTAGCAAAGTACAAATCATCAGGAACTGTGGAAAAGCCACAAGAAAGAAAAATCAAAGGAGGAAGAAAACTGCCTTCAAAGGCCATTGGAACAGAAACTGGAAAATTCAAATATATCTCACGTGAACTGTGAAAGAACCGGGAAACTCACACACGTTATGAGTCTGTAGCTTCTGAACTGCCGTCAGACTTGAGAGGAGATGAAGGTACAAGCTCTAGAACGGGACCTCCTGAGCTTACACCCTGGCTCTTTACCCACCAGCCAATCTCTACACTGGTGACTCGGCCTCTTCACCACCTCAATTGTGAAGGAGGATAACAATAACAATGTCTACTGCGTGGTTTTGTTGGGAACATTTCATCCACCTTTGTCAAGCACAGTGCATGGGACATAAAACTAAGCAAGTACCTACTGACTATCACATCAGTGGTATACTACCATTCTTTATAGATACCACCACTGGAAATAACAAGCCTGACATAAAAATTATGGAAAAGCTATCGATTACAAGTCGTCATGATCCAACATATATTCTCACTGGAAAAATATACATTCCTAATAAACTAGGCATATATCATAAAGTTGCCAGAACAAGCAGTGACTTTAACAGGCTTTGTGATTTCTCTTTCCAAACTATTACTGAAAACTTTGCTACTCAATGCGGCCCAAGGGCCGGCAGTGCTGACACAGAGGGAGCTGGTCCTAGAGGCAGGAGTTTGGCCCTGTCCTATCCTCGGGCCAAGAGGTCAGAATCTTCATATCCACTAGATCCCCGGCTGAGCCACACATAGGGAAATGAGAAGAGGACCCCAGAAAATGGTAAATGGTAAATGTGTCACGAGTACCCTGAGGCTGTTTCATTCATACGACAGACAGCCAGGATAATGAAAAGCAATAATTAAAAGCCCATTTTAGCACAGCAGCAAAAGTATCTCACACACACACACACACACACACACACACACACACACACAGGACTAAAGGTCACCAGTCATCCAGTTATCAAACTGAAAACAAAGTGGGCAATTTGGCCATAAGTGCCTCTAAAGAAAGTGAGGGACAGCTTCTGTACTGGACTGAGAGACCTGAAAAAGGTTAAAAGTTTCTCACTATAATTTCGGCTACCAGGTTTTTCTACACAAAATAATTCCAGGGAAAATTAGCTTTTCTCAGCATATGCTTACTCATTAGGAAAATGTAGTTATCTGGTTACTATTTAACGTTGCAAATATAAAAGTCTAGAGAATTAAGAAAATTTACAGACAGTTTGTTATCACGGATAAAAGAGTAAGTCGGGAAAGGATAAAAGCAATGGAGATTTTCTTCAGCAAGGGAATATGATTTTCCTATCAAAATGCTCCGCAACTGCAGGTCACTTCCCTTGCTTCCTCACAAATGCCCCAGGGCCATCGTGGAGGTGACATCGAGTGGGACATCAGAGCCACAGAGAGAACTGTACTTCTCCATGATAAATACTGAGCACCACGTCGCTATGTGTATTCTTCCTCTTTGAGGTGTTTTCCCTGTAGTCACCTCTACTGATTGTTTTCTTCTTATTTACTATGATACCCATTTTGGAAAAAGTAACTTTAAAAGGTACTTTTGAAATAGAGGAGGATATCCCAAGGTTGATGTTTACATTTGAGGAGGGGGCAGTGGGTTTCACTGATGGGTGTTATTTGCATTTCTCATACATTTTAACATTCTTTAAAATATGCATATATTTGTGCTATGATCAGACCGGAAGTTTTTTTTTAAGGGCAAGGACTCAGACAACCAATGTCTACACTACTTAAGAAATCAGGCTTTTGCACACCTGCACATCAATGACACTTTCAGAGGTAATAAATTTCAGGTCAAACTTTATGCTGTTATATCATTATCTATGTTAATCAGAAAAGTACACCTCACGGTATGGTATAAGACACTAAAGAATCTGCAGTGGAGAAAAAAGATGAATAAAGACCTTCATAAGTTTCTGGCATACCAGCAAAGAGGACCATTCACTTATCCAGACACTCATTCATGCATCTTCAGGGTCTCCTTCTACCAATCACTATTACTTTTCTGTATTTTAGAAACAAAGTCCTTGTCCTGCCATTAGACTGACAGATGACATAATCAGATATAATGCAGCAATATCTTGATGGAACTATAAATAAACTATAGAAGTTAGGCATTCCAGGGATGGAAGCCGATGAGCGTGAAGTACAGTTTGGAAGAGTCACCAAGTCAGGAAGTGTGCTACAGCTGCGGCACTCTTAGAAAGGGAACAGGTAGCACTCTCAGGACCAACACCAGAAACACAAACAACAGAAGATAAGCTGGACTTTACCAAGATTAGAGCCTTTTGTACTTCAAAGGATTCTGTCAAACTGAGGAAAGCTGTCGAGTGGGATCCAGAATGCGCTGAAGGCTTGGAGCCACCTCATAGGCATTCGGGAAGTGATGGGTCACAGCAGCTCTAAGGCCATCCAGTGGACCCATGCACTTGTCAGTTCATTAGCTAAAGGGGCTGCTGGGAGAAGGCCTGGTTGGAGAACCAAAGTCAGTGGGGCGGGGGAGAGTCCTCTGAAGGATCTATCTTGGCCCCTGAACTCCATGGGGCTCTCTCACTGCCCCTCCTCCATCATGATATTCTGTCTCACCACAGGCCTGAGACGACAATGGAACCAGCATTGGAGCCAGGTGATTGTGGACAGAAACCCATGAGACGAGGAACCTCCCTTATGTTGTTTATCTCGGGTGATTTGTCACAGCAAAGGAAGCTGACTAACACACAGCCTGCAGAATAGAAGAAAGCATTTGCAAATCTCATATCTGCTATGGGAATTGTACCTAGGATGGATGAAGAAATCTTAGAACTCCATAAGAAAAACACAAAGAACTCAATTTAAAAATGGGCAAAGTCTCTGAATAGACAGTTCTCTGAAAAAGATATAAAAATGGCCAATGAGCATGTGAAAAAAGAGGCTCAGCATCATTAGCCACCAGGAAGTGCACAAAATCCAGTGAGATCCCCCTCTCCTCCACCAGGATGATGAGAAAAACAAAAGCTGAGTTGATGAGGATGTGGAGAACCTGGAATCGACATACACTGCTGGAAATAAAGTGGTGCAGTCACTTTGGAGCACAGTCTAGGAGTTCCTCAAGAGGTTAAAACAAGGAGTTGATAAATCAATAAATGTAATACTCTACATTAAAAGAGTCAAAGACAAAAACCATATGATCATCTCAACTGTTGCAGAAAAAGCATTTGACAAAATTCAACACCCATTCATGATTAAAAAAAAAACCCTGCAGCAAATTGGAATAGACTGTCTTTATCGCCGCTTGATAAAGGCTATCTATGAAAAACCAAAAGCAAACATCATAGTAAATGGTCAAAAACTGGAAACCTTCACACTAAAATCAGGAGCAAGACAAGGATGTTCACTAACACCACTGATATTCAATATAGTTCTAGAAACATTAGCCACAGCAATTAGAAGAGAGAAAGAAATAAAAGGAATAAAGATAGGAAAGGAAGCAGTTAAACTGTCATTATCTGCTGATGATATGATACTCTACATAAAAGATTCAAAACACTCTGCCAAAAGACTTCTAGACTTAATTGACAGATTCAGTAGAGTAGCTGGAAACAAGGTCAACACTCAAAAATCAACAGCCTTCCTGTACACAAATAACAGACTCACTGAGAAAGAAATTAGGGAAACAATTCCTTTCACAATAACATCCAAAAAATGAAATAACAAAGGCGACAAAAGATCTCTACGCTGAAAATTACAGCACTCTGAAAAAAGAGACAGAAGAGGATATAAGAAGATGGAAAGACATCCCTTGCTCCTGGGTAGGAAGAATCAACATAGTGAAAATGGCCATACTTCCAAAACTGCTATACATATTCAGGGCAGTCCCGATTGAAATCCCAAGAGTATATTTCACTGAACTAAAGAAAACAATCCAAAAATTCATTTGGAACCAGAAGAGACCTACAATAGCAAAAGCCATTCTAGGCAACAGAGACATGGCAGGGGATATCACAATTCCCAACTTGAAACTATACTACAGAGGTGCTGTGATAAAAACAGCATGGTAATGGCAAAGAAACAAACCTGAGGATCAATGGAATAGATTAGAAGATGCAGAAATAACACCAGACATACTCAGCAACCTCATCTTTAACAAAAGAGCCAACCATCCTCATTGGAAGAAAGATGTCCTTTTTTTTTTTTTTGAGGCTGACCTGGAACTCACTTTGTAGCCCAGGCTGGTCTAGAACTCACAGTGATCCTCCTGTCTCAGCCTCCTGAGTGCTGGAATTACAGGTATGCACCGCCATGCCCAGCTAGGATAGCCTCTTTAATAAATGGTATTGAAAAAAACTGGATTTCAATTTTCCAAAGATTAAAACTAGATCCCTATCTTTCACCATGCACTAAAGTCCAAATGGATTAAAGATATAAATATCAAAACAGAAACACTAAA